TTATTATTATTATTATTATTATTATTATCGTTATCATTGTCGTTGTCATTGTTACTATTATTATTATAATTATTATAATAGTAATAATAATAATTATTATTATTGATTATATTATTATTATTATTATTATTAATATTATTATTATTATTACTATTACTATTACTATTTCTATTACTCTTACTATTACCATTATTATTGATATTACTATTACTATTATTAGAGGTTTTTGCAGAAATCTTTATAAGTTTTATTCACCCCGTCTGACTCGGCGAAAAGTAACAAGTAGCAGCAGTAATGACAACAACAACAACAAAATCTATTACTTTTTAGGCAACTTCGGCGTAAGGGATTTCTGGGCACAGTTTTTGGAAGCCGGCGGTAACTGGTACGAGGGTAAATATGGTGCAGTATCTGGTTGGGCGATTCCACTGTTGCAGTCGCTGGGCATTGAAACAAGAAGTGGAGTTGGTGTAAGGATTACCAAGTGCTAATTGCTGACACAGTTTTTGTCTTTTAAGCAATAACAACAGTAACCATTCTTCATTTTTACTTTCCTTAGATTATATGTCAGATAACGGACTAGCAAAATAATTGCAACAATTTATTTAGATAGGATTTAGCAAAAAAAATTTCTTTAGATTGACGTGCCAATAAAAAAAAAAGAATTTGGAAAACCTATTGCTGTGAATATTGGTGGTGGAGTAGGTCCTTATTATCAACAAATTGATCATATTGGTGTTGACTGGTTAAATGGAAAAGTGGAAAAAAATTTTGATTTTCGTATACCTTTCCTGGGTACTGGCTTTCGTTCTGGTTGGGATCTACGATTTCCATCAGCGTCGTCAATAGTTGGATAAGAACTAAAGCAAATGTCGTTATTTTAGTTTCCAACATTAGTAGTTTCCTGTATTTTTTTTTTTTTGTCAGGCTTAATATGCACCATGAAATTTAATTTTCGTAGTTTTGATCTCTTCATATGCGGCTAAATAACTATTCCTAATGCTGTAACCGAAATAGATGAATACTTGGATTGAAAGCAAAAAGAAGAAGAAGAAGAAGAAGAAGAAGAAGAAGAAGAAGGTGGATGAGTAATAAAGAATAGAAGAATAAAGATTTGATATTTTTTCTTTTTGCTTTTTTTTTTTAAAATGTGTTTATGAATTTCTTCTGTCGATAAAAAAATTGGTAAATTTCTTATTGGTTATTGTACGTAATCGACATCGCTGCCGTTGTCGACGTCATTGTCGTCATCGTTGCTGATTTTTATCAACAGCCCTAGGGCCAGTTAGAGGAAACTACGTTTTACTAAAATGCACTTACATGCAAAACAACTTTTCCTGTTTAATTTTGTCCATCCCACCCTCATTTCTGGTAACAATTTTAGTGCTTCTAAA